AGGGAAACAATTTCCAATTTAAAAAAAAAAAAACCTGTATGCCCTTGGTATACTCTGATTCACCAAAATTAAATAGGTGTTACAAGATTCTTCAGTAAGACATACTCCATATATCTGTTTTTATAATATTTATCTTTTAAAGTAATTTATATATATTTTATATTGTTGTTTTCCTATGTGATTTTATCTGTTTGTGGCACCACCCAGAGTTACCTTTGGTGAGATGGGTGGCTATATCAATTGTGCAGATAGCAGTATTTTTCATGATTTTATTTCAGTGTTTCAGCAGAAAGTCAAAACTAGAAAGCTTTGCCATTTGTTTTGAGCTGTCAGGGTTATTTAATAGCACCTCCGCTGCTTTGGGGATTTCTGTGAAATACACATATACATGTGTATTGTTGAAGGTTAATTGTTCCATGAATATCTTTCTCCTGGTTCATACTCTGATATACATTATAAGCACTACAAAGAATCCCTGGGAATAGAAAATGTACCTTGTTCAGGTTTATTACTTTGGAGAATTTATATGACTTTTTTTCCATTTCATAGTCTGTCAAAAGCTTAAGTCTGCTGACTTGCTAGTTTTATCTGCAGCCAACTTTTGTAATGCCTTTCCACAGTGGCATGCTGGTTGTAAATGAATACATAAAAATCAATGATGTCAAGGGAAAGAACTGCTAAAGAGTGGTTCTTGTATCTTTAACTTTATGTGGCCTCTTAAAGTGTTTTATTAACTGGCAGTTGAATGTAATTTTTGGTTTTGCTTTAGAATATCAATACAGCAGCTTAAAAAACAAATGCATAGAAAACTGGTTTTCAAGGATAGAAAATATGGAAATCTATAATGAATAGCATTGCTATATATTAGATTTAGTTACATTTTTTTTCGTCTCCGAGCTTTAATTTCTTTTGCTCATGACATCTCAGTCTTAGTGGTTTACATAACACTACATGGTTTAAAGAATAACTTAATAGCTATATTTCTGTGCAGCATTGCGTTTATATACTGCCTAGGTTATTTATTCAGCAAGACAATGCTGTCTTTATAATGCCCAGCATACACATCATTTATAATCTTAAACTTTTTCTCCTTCTGATGGGGAAAATGGACTTGGAAGATGTTTCTAAAAACACAAAGAAAATATTGAAAATATTGAAGAGAAATCAAACTGGGTGTTTTGAATTCTGATTTCTCTTCAATATTTTCAATAGTTTCTTTGTGTTTTTAAAAAATATCTTCCGAATCCATTTTCAAGGCTGTGTTAGACCCAAGGAAAATGTAATTGTACAGGTAGTCCTTGCTCAACATTCATTCATTCAGCAGTCATTTGAAGTTACCTCAGCAGAGAAAAATGAACTTGCAACCAGTCCTCTAATTTATGACCATACAGTGCCCTCATGGTCACATGATTAAAAATTTGAGGGGGGACCCACCAGTGCATTTATAATTGATCGCTGCTGCTGCTACCGCTACAACTGCCCCTAGGGTCCTTTGTCTTGTGCCTGTCCTCAGCTCCGTTGTCATGTTCTGGATGTGGTGTATAGCTTTCTGTTGCCATCCCCAGTGAGCCTTCGTCCTCTGCAGGATAGATAGAGAAGCCATTTTATGACTTTCTGTCCTTTTATTCATGGGCTAGAAGAGGTTATTGGCCCTTGATTGCAAATAAAAGAATATTTCCGCATTATTCTATCTGCCTTTAGTGAGTCTGGAAGGAAATTCCACAAGAGTTACAGTAGACCCCAGACTAGTTGACAAATAAAGGCATAATCAACCAATGGAGAAATGTTATGGAAATTGGGAAATAAAATAAACAGAATATCAGGTGCTGTTTGCAAAAGCAGATAATTGAAAAAATTATGCAGATACCACAGAAACCAACTTGCCATTTCAATATTAATTCCATTGGTTTATACTGCTGTATGGCAGGTATTATGGAACATGGTGGCTCAGTGAAAGTTCAGCGGTTCAAATCCCTAGTGCTGCATAACGGAGTGAGCTCCTGTTGTCCCAGCTTCTAGCAGTTCGACAGCACGTAAAAATGCAAATAGAAAAATAGGAGCCACCTTTGGTGGGAAGTTAACAGTGTTCCGTGCGCCTTTGGCATTTAGTCATGCTGGCTACATGACCACAGAGATGTCTTTGGACAATGCTGGCTCTTCAGCTTTGAAACTGAGATGATCACAGTCCCTCTAGAATTGGCAACAACAAACACATATGTGCGAGCTGAACCTTTACCTTTATGGCAGGTATTGGATGATTTCCCTCCCCCCTTTTACTGATATTTTATTTCAGCAACTATATCCCAGAGCAAGAGAATGATCAACCTGACAAGTCCAAAGCCCCCGGGTAGAAAATCTTTATCACTTTGTGGGGCCAAAGGGAATGTCTCAGCCTAAACAGAGTCCAATCAATATCTCTGTATTTTTTTATAAGCGCTTCATTATGAGGCAAACAAATAGCAGAGAATAGTATTCATTTGGTATTTAATCTTTGTCTGCTTTTCACGAAAGCAGCCCGATCAAATGGCCTGTGGTTTTTATGTCTCTCCAGCCCACTCCGATACAGGATTCATCAGAATCAGAAGACAAGGAACACTTCAAGGCACCATGTGAACAGCAACATGGGTTAGACTCCCTATCGACTCCAGAGAAGCAAAGCGCAATCCTTCAAAGAAAAGAAAAAAATAACAAAAAAGTTGGTCCGAAAATCTCCAGCTTATCAATTGGAAGCTCAGATTCCAGCATTTCAAGCCTACAAAAAATACATTGTGGAGTTTCCTGTAGTTCTTCGGACACTACAGCAAGCAAGCATTCTTCAAAAGCCCAAACTCCTGACTCCAAAGCATGCAGTGGGGATCTCCTGGATAAGCATTCCCAACATTTTACCAATGGTCAGCAGCCATTCACTCCAAGGACTTTAAAGTCAGATGCGAAATCCTTTCTTTCACAGTACAGATACTACACCCCAGCGAGACGAAAAGTAAGGGCGAATCTAAGGCAACAGATGGAAGCAGAAACACAAACTGAAATAAGCAGGTGAAGAACTTTCTTATGGAAGTTGTATTATACTATAAGCATTGCACAAACCTGCTCCATGGTGCATTGAATTGCTGCTTCATGTTCATATTTTACAATGGAGAACTAAACTTGATGGGTAGACAGTAACGTGTGTGTGTGTATGTAAATAACATCACTAGAACTAAGATGGATGAAAAATGTCTTGTAGTAGTACATCAAGACAGTTCATCCAGTGACTATTACCACAGTACAAACAAAACCCTTTAGAAATGAGGCAACAGACAATTAACAAAGATATCATATTTGCTTCATTTCATTCTTTTTTTAAAAAAACAACAACACCCTTTTCAAACACCATAAGTGCACTTTCATGGAAAATTACATTTCCAAAGACCTGTTATATGTACCCTGTTTGTCTGAAAATAAGACCTCTTCGGATAATAAGCCCAATTGGGCTTTTGAGCGCATGCGNCCATGCAGATCTCCTCTAGAGCAGTGATGTTTTGGGGCTGTCACTGGGCAACACGGACTTTCAACTCCTAACTAAATACTTTTTTGCCCCACTGTATAAATAGGTAGTTAATAAAATAAGAATATATTAAAAGCATGGACAAGCTGTAAAGGTTCAATTATAAAGTTTTGTTTTGTAGATACATATTGACAACTCATGCAACAAATTCCTTTTTTATTCACTTTGTGGTGTTTGTTTTCAGCTGCTATAGATTGTTCATTACCAAAAAGCAGATTAAACAGCATAAAATGTAAGTATTTTCTTTGATTGTTAATAATTTTAAAAAGCATATCATGAAAATTATATATTGATAGCATTCATTATTATTCAGAAATTAGAATTATTATTCAGTACTAGATACACCATTACTTGCAGTGACATTTCCTCTTACTTCCTCTCATCTTCAAATTTTAAGTTGATTTGAAATATGCAGCAGTCTATTATTTCTGGTGACTGCTGTCTATCAATGGATGAACACAATAAGCCATGACAAATACCCTGAACTGTGATATTTCAATTCAGCATCGTTCAAACTCTGTCTAATAAGACTATGGTATGGTACGGTACGGTACGGTATGGTACGGTATACAAAAATATACAAAACAAAATCTGTTTTATTTTGTTTTTTTGTTTATTTTGTAATCTTAAATAGCAAGACCTAGCCCACACTGTTTAGTAGTACTGTTTAACAGTAGTATGATTTTGTGTATTTTGCTTTTTAATTTGTGTTATTTGTTTTGATTTTAACTTGGATGCCACCTACAATCTGTTGGTGAGATAGGCAGCTATAGATATTGTTTAATATGTCTTTTGTTTAAGCAAATCATCAATCAATAACCACCATTGAAAGACTGTTTATGGAGGATGGTATAGTTCACAAATTCTCCACTGGGAAGGGGATTGAACTAGAAGATTTTGGAAGTTATTTTCAATCTTTCAGATTTTTGATTCTATATAATAAAAATGTCTTATAAAATTGTATGAAAACAGGCTTAAGAGTAGTAAGAATTATTCAGGGCAAAAATGCAGTCTATAGAAAATATAGATGAAACGGAATTATTTGTACATTAAAGAAGAATTTTTTGGTTATGAGTCAGCAACGTAAATTGTTTCTCATGGAAATCTAGCAGGGTGAGACAGTTTAGCCCTATAGGAATGCATTTTAATCCTTTTTTTTTAGCTATTTAAATTATTTTTCCCGGGCACTTTCTATGTCTTAATGAAGATTTAAAAACAAAATTGTTCATGTAAGAGGACTAAGTCACAGATAAAAGTACAGACAGGTATACTGGAATATAGAGCTGGTACCAGGTAAACCAAAACTCATGTGAGCTAAAGTTACCAAAGGAGGCTTCTTTAGATATGTTCCAAATAAAAGAAAAAGAATTATGCTAGCTGATGAACACAGATGGCAAAATACTTTGGTAGCAAACAAAAGGCATAGAAACTGAGCTGTTATTTTGATTCAGTCTTAATCAACCAAAAAAGTAAATTGGGTATTTCACTGGGATATAGGCAATCCCCTGGTTACGAACATTCTCTTAGTGAACTCTCAAATTTACGCAATCAGCGTCTCCTAGTATTTACAAGCGAGTCCTAAAACTATGAATCTTGCAGCACCATGACAGTTGTTCACCCTTAAGAACAACTACAGAGGCTGTGCAACATTCATTCTGCACTTTGCCGGCCAAAATGGAGGTTTGAAGGGATGGGCCTGCCCTTCCAATGAGCCGTTTAGGCCTGTGCAGGCCTCAGCTGGCATTTTTCCAGCCAAAATGGGGCTCCATTTAGGCCTGCGCAGGTTCACCTGACACTGCAGAGGCCTAAACAGAGCATTGGAGGGGCAGGCCTGCTCCTCCAAACCTCCATTTTGGCCTGTAATGTGTCGGTCGAGGCCTGTGCAGACCTAAAGGGACCTTCGTTTTGGCCAGGAAAATGCCAGCTGAGGTCTGTGCAGGCCTAAATGGAACGTTGGAGGGGCACGCGCAGCAGAGGCTGGAGAAGAGACAGTTTACTAGATCTTCCCATGGTAAGTGACCCAGTACGGCAGGTTGGGGGGTGGAAAGCAATTGTGGGGAACATGAGGTTTTTCAGTGGGTCAGGGAAGGCTTGGGTAGTCTTAAGCAGGTGGCCTATTCCATCACTAGCCCCTCCTCTCCCCCCATGGCCTTCCTCACCCTGAAATTCCTCATGTACCCTTAACAAGCCGCGCATTTGATTAGCAAATGAATGGGTGAAGGAAGGGAGTGATCACGTTCAAGGTACAAGATTCACTCCCACAAATCCTCGGGTTACATTCATAACTCGAGGACTACCTATATTGTGAAGATAGGAAAGCTAGAATGGAGAGGCAAAATTGAAGCTTGAGATTGAGGAAACATGTCCAGGAAATACCTCTTTAAATTAAATCTTCACAAGCAGATGAATTGCATCTGAGTGTAGTGAAGAAATTCATTATAGTCTGGCTGAATCTTTGTATTATTGAGATCCTGATTAAAGTGCCAGATGACTGGAGGAAAGAAAATGTACTTTTCTTCAAGAAAAGAACAATGAACCTTGATGGTATGGAAAGATCAATATTATTTTGTCAGCATTTAATTTACTGTCTAAGAACTTAGCTTTTTATCTTATGTATATCTATTCTTTTCTTGTTTATTTTACTTTGTGGGTTTTTCCCATGGGAAAATAAAGGACAATAAAAATTATTTTAAGATGTGATACGGGAAGATCCAGGAAATGGCAGATTGATCAGTCTAACATTGCTAACTGGGAAAATTCTGGAGCAGATCATGTTTATTAAATCTGTAGATGTTACAATACTGAGTGGGATATTGCCTAGGAAATAGAAAGAAAATTCAAAACAATCTGGATAGGTTGGAGAATGTTGGACAAATGTGCTGCAAATAACTAGAAATTAACAAAAACAGAAAATGAAGTAGAATAAATTCTGCCTTCTCCTGTGCGCTGCTTGGAGAATCTAAGCATGGGTTCAACTTCAGTTTGTCTGCCCAGTGTCTGAGTTGATTTTAGAGTCTAGCCATGCCTCCTGGCTTGATTGCCTCAGTTTTTCTCAACTCAGTCAAATCTATAGTAGTGACTTAGACTCTCTCCTCAGTCAGTGAGCAGAGAAATTAAAGTTATTACCTTGGATTCTTCAATTATTTTTTCATTACAGCAGAAGATTTAAAAAAATTGAATTGGCAACTCTTTGACAGCTGTCAAAGGCCCTTCGGCTTGTGCAGCACCTCAGGCTCCTAGAAGCCTTGCACGAGGCTCGGAGCCGACAACACGGAGCTATCAAAGCTCCATTTGAAGTTTAAAACCACTGGAGCAGCGCGATGGCACTATAACAGCTAGTGAACGGATCGGGTGAGCATCGGCTGAGGCTTCTGAAAGGGCTCCGGGCAGCCTGGGAATGAGGCCTTGACACTACAGAGAACGTGGCCGCCATTTGGGACATTGTTTCAAGGCGACTGCCATTTTGAATAGCGAATTTGGTATGCTTGCCATTTTGGCTGTCAGATCACCTTGGACTGTCATTTCAGCGGCGATTTTCATCTTGACAGGGATCGCTCCTCAGGGAAAGCACAGAGAGAGCCGTGCCTGGACTTTGCTTCTCCCTATCCGGCAGCTTGATCTGGTCTCCTAGCAGCTGCATATTAGAGACTTGCAGCCTGAAAGCCCCTGTCTACCACAGCTCCAAAGACTTCAAGTCAGTTGCAGACCCAAGAAGCGGTTCCAGAGGCCTCAAACGAGGCTGCTTGAGCGCTCCCAACAACCCAGTCCCGGGCTATTCCCTTTCCGAGTACTTGGTCAAAGATCCGGTGCGGCTGTCGCAGAATTTCATCTCTGGAATTGATTGATCTGACCTGGTCCTGAGGTGGTAAGTGGGGCGTTCGCATTGCCATCCTAGCTAACCACAGGAATGGCTGACTCATGTTACGGGGAGGAAGAACCCTACCCAGGCACATCCTCCATCCTACAGCCAGCCCCAAGGAGAAAGTCGACTAAGTGCCATCCAAGTCCTCCAGCAAGTCAGAGAGGTCTAAAACATCCTCTCATAAGTCTTCTATAACAGATAGAGATGCCAGCAGGTACTTTAATGCCTTGGAAAAACAATTTACTAAGGTGCAAAAGGCACTGATGGTTAATCCATCTTCCGTAAGGCAAGCTGAATCCAGTCAGGCCAGGGATGAGGTACCAGATGTCTTTCCAGATGATATTTCAGTTTCACAAGATTTCCAGGCAGCTTGTTTCGAGGATAATTTTGCTCCATTCGAATGTCTTCCTGTGACAGCTGAGGACTCTCCTAATGACCACAGGCAAAAGGAGGCCACAGCCAATTCTAGGCCTACCTCAGCATGCTTCTCTGTAGAACAGCAGGAATTTATTTCCCAGGCCATAATGGACTTTGCCTTTCAGCATGGGGTCACCTCCAGTAAACACACAATTCAGGTCCCAGTCCAGCAGAGCCAGAAGAAGGACAGTCCTGTTCCCGTTCAGGACCCTCCCGCTCCCAAACCTTCAGTATGCAGTGAGGATTCACTAGCAGCAGAGGACGTGACCACTGAGCAGATCCTCAAGCCGACCTTCACTGGCCTCTTCAAGCCTGCACTCTTCAAATTGCTTTTTCTCAAGGCCAAGGTGATCACTAGTTCAGACATGGCCAGTACCTCGGATGAGCCTACTAAGGAACAACCATCCAAGAAAGCTAAGAGCAGCACCTTCTTTTCTGAAACACCTGCAGAATGCAAGGAGGCTCCTACCCCTCAGCTCTTCCTCAACGTAGTCCAACGCCAGTGGTCTCAGCCTGGGTCTATCCCAGCTCTTCGTGGTTGTGACAAACAGTTATATGCGGTGGCCCCGGAGATGGAGAATCTCTTGCAGTGGTCCATGGTTGATACCCCTGTGGCCGCCCTTACATCTTCAGTACTCATTCCCTCCAATCTCATGGAGGTAGTGAAGACGGAGGACAAAAGGGCAGAATCCTCATTTAAGAAAGTTCATCAGGCCGTGTCCTGGGCCATCAGGGCCTTAACATCGGCTTCCTTTTCAACAGGGCCACACTCATGTGGCTGAGACAGCTATTAGACAAGATTTCGGTAGAGGACACCAGGCTCTGCCAAGATTTAAACAAGCTGGCGACAGCCACGGAATATTCAGCAGATGCCACACTTAACGCTGCCAAATTTGCCTCACGGGCTATGGCAGCCAATGTGTCTTCCCAGTGTGGGTTCATCATTGGCAGGCAAATATGCACTCTAAATGAAGTTTGGCTTCTGTTCCTTTCAAAGGGGATAAACTTTTTGGTCGAGACCAAAGACAAGAAGAAGGCCATGCCAGTCCAGCACAAGAAATATGACAACAGTCTCTCCATACTCCCGCAGGCAGCCCTTTTGACAGGCTGACTCTGGAATGTCTGCTTCCCAATTCCAGAGACCATATTCCCAGGGAGCAAATAGGTACCAGGACAGACAGTCCTTCAGGGACAGGGACAGACAACAACCCTATGGCAAGCGATCTTTCCGAGGGGCTAATACCAAGCCCTTCCACAGAACAAAGTGACTCTTGCCCCAACTTAACGATTGGCAGCCGTCTACGAGCCTTCCTACCCCAGTAGAAGGAGACAACCACCACCGATGCCTGGGTTATCCAGATGGTGAGGCTGGGCCTCACCATAGAATTCCTTTCCCCTCCCTCCACCCCACTTTCTGAGTTGCCCCACTCCCAGGAATCCCGCCAAGAGGGAATCAGTGGAAACTGAGATTCGCCATCTCCTAGACATCAAGGTGATAGAACCAGTTTCATTGGATCAGGAAGGTCTAAGCTTCTATTCTATGTTCTTCCTTGTGCCCAAAAGCTGTGTGTGTGTGTGCAGAGCCATATTAGATCCCAAGAGGCTCAACTCCCATGTAGTATACAAACACTTCAAAATGCAGTTCCTAAATTCCATCTTGGACAGCATTCAGGAAGGGGATCTACTCACGTTTATAGATCTTGGGGGAGGCTTACCTGCATGTACCCATCAGACCAGCACATCGAAAGTTCCTGCAGTTCCATTATGAGGGGCGGCACTTCCAGTATCGCGCCATGCCATTCGGCCTGTCATCGCCCCCCAGGACTTTCACAAAACTGTTGGCGGCCAGTGCGCATATACTGACAACCAGGTGTGCGTACACTGTTATCTGGACGACATCCTCATTCAATTGTCGTCCATCAGATAGGCATACGGGGATGTGCATACCACGACGCTCGTCCTACGGAAACACCACTTCTCCGTGAACATGGAGAAGAGTCATCTCCAGCCCACCAACAGACTATTACATCTAGGGGCTGTGATTGACACTTCCACCTGCGAGGTTTTCCTGTCTACAGGCCGCCAATCTAGCCTATGTCAGATGGTCTCATCCATTCTAGTGCAATACCAGGTGCCACTGATACAGCTTTCCAGCTTACTAGGGAAAATGATCTTGTCCTTGTCGGTCAGGCCCT